CGCTCGCGCGCGAAGGGCTGCGCAGCGCGCCGCAGGCGCTGGAGAAGCGCGTGAACGGGATGCCGCGGCGCACGCGCTTCGCGTACTTCGTGCCGGCGCGTTTCGAAATCGTGGGCGCCGTGGCGAGCGCCGCGGAGCTGCAAGACGTGCAGCACTGCTTCGAATTTGCGACGGGCGAGTTGCAGCTGGCGGCGCGACTGCTGGCGCTGGCGACGGCGGAGCCGCAGCGCTGCTGGAGCGAGCTGCTGCAGCTGAAGGCGGTCTGCGAGTTGGCGACGGCGCGCAGCGTGCTGGCGGCAGCGGTGCAGCATACGCACCGCAGCGCGTTGTCGCTCGAGGACCTCGCTGCGTACACGAAGGCGAAACTCGAGGTGTTAGAGAGAGAATTCGCAAAATGATTAAGCCTCGGGCATTTAACTTTTTGATTTTTCGCGAGATGTTTAAGCCCAAGGGCGGAATCAAGCGGATCGTGGAGCGCGACTGTCGCGTGGGCGACCGCGACAAGAAGCTGTTGGTGCGGCAGTTGGCCGCGACCTACGCGCACGCAGACATCGAGCTGCTGAAGCAGCACTTGGGCGAGCACAAAGTGTTCTCGCAGCTGGCGCTGAAGGCGCTGGACTCGAAAGTTCACTTGTTCGACGGCGCGCCGCTGTTCTTCACGCTGGGGCTCAAGAGCGAAGTGGTGGTCCCGACGCTGCTGACGCTGTGGCGCTTTCCCGCGCTGCTGCCCTGTCTGCGCGTGGACAACAACGTCTGGCGCTTCATTCTGAACGGCGCGGACTTGATGTTTCCGGGCGTGGTCGACACGACTGAGCAGCTGCTGGCGCAAGGCATTGACCGCGGACAGGTGTGGGCGCTGCGCTTGCTAGACAACCCGCAGCCCTTCGCCGTCGGCGTGGTGTTGCAGTCGCAGGCGCAGATCGCGGCGGGCGCGCGAACCGGGAAGCTGCTCGAAACGGTGCACTACCTGCACGACTTGCTGTGTCAGTCGTTCGACATAGAGCCGTTCCTGCCGGCGGGCTTTGGCGTCGACAGCGTGCAGCCGCTGGCTCGCGCACCCGAGCACGCGGCAGCCGCGGAGAGCGCGTCCGCGGCGAAGCAGCTCGACGCGCCGGACGCGCCCGCAGAGGCGCCCGCGGAGCGCGCCGCGCCCGCGGTGAAGGTGAGCGTGCGCGTTGTGACTGCGCTCTGCGAGCTCTGCTGCAGCAACGCACTGCTCTACAAAGTCGCGGAGGCGCAGCTGCCGCTGAGCGTCGCCGCCTTCTGGGAAATCGTGCGCGCGCTCGCGCTGGACGCCGCGGCGCAGCACAAGACGTGGCTACGCGAAGCGCTCGCGGCGGAAAGCGCCGCGGACTCGAGCAGTTCCGCGACCGACGACGGGCTGGAGCGTAGCAGCGACCCGGCGCGGCTCAGCGCGCTGGAGCTACAGGACACCAAGTGGAAGACGCTCAGCCGCTTCGCGCAGTTCATGAAGGCGTCGCGCGTCGCGACGCTCAAGGAGATCAAGAACCAGAGCTGCATTGTCGCGGTGAACTTGAACCACAGCTCGCTGAAGCTAGTGAAGACGCTGCCGAGCTGCGCGCAGCTCGAGTCGCGCAAAGCGAGAGGCCGGAGCGAGCGCCCCGAGGAGCACAGCGACGGCAAGCTGCGATGCTGGACGATTCTGAAGGCGATCAAGTCCAACGCGTTCTTCGACCGCAAGGCGCTGGGCAGCTGGACCACCGAGGCGCTCGAGTCGCTGCGCATCGCCGGCGCGCTGCGCGCGCTGATGCACGACGCAGAGGCCGACCTGCAGAGCTACGACTTCGGCCCCGCGCTCTCGCAGCGCGCGAACGAATTCAGTCTGTTTCTGTCGATTGAGCAGCGCCGCGGACTCAAGGAGGGCCGCGCGCTCGCGAACCTGCACGCGCGCGAGCTCATCGCCAACTACTTGGAGAACGGCTTCTCCGTGTACCACGTACTGGTGCCCGCGAAGATCGACTTGGCGACGGTGCTCGAGGCGCCGCAGAAGTTCACGATCGTGCAGCAGGGCACGTTTGTGTACATCAAGCTGCTCAAGGTGCAGCGCTTCGTGAAAACCGTGATCAGCGGCGTACACAACTTCGGGCTGACCGACACGCGGCAGTTCGCGAGCGAGCTGCAGAAGGCGTTCAGCGCAGGCGCCACGACGTACGAGGACCTCAGCGTCAAAGGCAACGGCAAATACGCCGTCATCATCCAGGGCGACTTCGTAGAGCAAAGCGCGAAATACCTAAAGACGCAGTACTCGTTCCCCGACTCGCTCATCAAAATAAAAACTTAGTGCGCGTCCGGCCGTTTGCAGCCGCACGAGCAGAAGAGCTGGACTTTTTTGCCGCAGCTCGCGGCAACCGCCTGCTGAGGCGTGTCGCGCAGCGCCGAGCCGCGCAACGGCGGCACGAACGCGGCGCGGCGCTGCTCGCGCATGTACGGCGGCAGGTACACCGTGCGCGGCTCGCCCGAGTGCGCGCGGCCAGGCTCCGGGCGACTGACACTCGCGTTTCCGCCGCCGTTTCCACCGCCGTTTCCGCTGGCGTTTCCGCTGGCGTTTCCGCTTGCGTTTGCGCTGGCGTTTGCGCTGGCGTTTGCGCATTCGCACCGCTGCTGCAGATTCGCGCCTCGGCCGCCGCCACTCGCTCCTTCGCGTGATGGCACACCCACGCGGCTCTGCTGCAACTCCGGGCTAACGCCGCAGCCGCTCGAGCCACCGAAGCTCTGAGTAGCGCTGCTCAGCGTGCGCGAGCGCACGGCAATGTGGTTGCAGCGCGCAGTGGAGAGCGGCGAGCCAGAAGGTGGCGAGCCAGAATGCAGCGAGCCAGAAGGCGGGGAGCCGGAATGCGGCGAGCCGGAATGCGGCGAGCCAGCGCGCCGTAAGTCAGAGTACGCTGCGCCAAGTTGGCCTGAGTCCGAATGCGACCAGCAAGCGTACGAAGAGTGCGACCGGCGCGACGGCGCGACAGCCGGATCGGTTTCGGGCAAGCAGCAAGGCGCAGCCGGACGGCTGCTCGCCGACCGCGCTTCTCGCACAAGAGCCGCCATCAAACCAGATTCTGCGCGCGTCGACTGCGACGCGCCAGAGAGTGCGCGCTCTGGCGCGTCCGCCGCCGCATTTTCCTCTTCTTGCGCCATCAGCGCGGCACCGCCGCTCAGCGACGACATCACGATGTTGCGCAGGGTTTCATCGAGCGGCGACACAGAGTCTGCACGCGGCAGCAGCGCTTCGTCGTCTGCGCTGTGCGCCGCCTCTTTCACAAACGTCAGCTTTCGGCCTAGCGGAATTCGCGCCTCCGCGTCGCCCTCGTCTGCGTCGCGTTGCAGCGCCCGACCGTAAGCTTCCACGATGCGTTTCTGCTTTTGCTTTTTCCGCATCAGTTGCGGGTCGCCGCGCACCGCGCCCACGCGACCTCTCGACCGCGAACCGCGCACACCCGCACTCAACGTCGAGCCGAACGCGCTGGCCTCCGCGCCGCTGCCGCTGCTGCTGCGGCCAGACGCGCTCAGATTTGACCCGAGCGTGTTGTCCAGCAACTGCTGCTCGTGGTCCTCGGCCAGCGCGCTGTCGCGGCGGTTTTGCTTAGCAATCTCGCCCAGCTCGATCGAGAGCGAGCGCGAAAACGCTTTGACCACGTTGCCCTTAGACTCAGCGCCGCTCAGCTCGCGTTCTCGCGCTGCCACGTACGGCGCAGAGCCGAAACTGCCGCTCGCTCGCAGCGCAGCTCGCGGACTGTGCGCCACGGAGTGACTCAGCGACTGCTGCGGCTGCTCCTCTTCCGACTCGGAGGCAGTTTCGCGCTGGCGCGCGCAACTCGCACAACGCGATGGCCGCGTTTCCTCCAGTCGGCTCAAGCACTGGGCCAAGTTCGCGCCAATTGCAGCGGACTTCTCGCATTTGAAACTGCCCTGCGGCTCCCGCTCCGACATGCTGCGACCCTGCGCGAACTGCGCACTCGCGCTGCGCTCGACGATCGGCGGCATCACTTGCTCGCTGACGCCGGAGTTACTGCGGCGCGCCGCCGCGCTGAACGACTGCACGTCTACCATGTCCACTGACGTCGGATCAGCGCTGCCTTGCGAGCGCTCTCGCGAAAAATAATTCTGCGGCTGGTCCGAGCGCGCTGCGGCGGGCGTAACTACGCCCGAGGGCTGCGCTACGCCGCGCCGCGCAGGCTCTCTGCGCGACACTGTGCGTCGCGCTTCGCTAGAGCCGCGCGTCGTTGCGTGAGAAAGCGAGTTCGAGTGGCACGGCATCAGGCCGCTCGAACGCTGGGCTCGCGGCGCGGCGGCTTCGGTGCGCGGCTCCGGCACGTCCGCCGCCCTGTCCGCCGCCTCGCCCAAGACGGCCGACTTCAGCTGCTCCGTCTGCTGCAGCTTCGCTGCCGACTGCTCGAGCTCCTGTTCCAGCGAATTCTTGCGCGCCTTCAGCAACTCAATGGCACCCAGCGCGTCAGAAGCTGTGCGCTGCGCCTCGCTCTTGAACTGTTCCAGCCTCGACCTTTCCTTTGACATTTCGAGCCGCAGCTTCCGCTCAGCGATTTGCGACTCCTTCAGGTTTTTCAGCGCGGCCTCGATCTCCGTGCGGCTGCGCTCTAGCTCGGCTTTCTGCGTCTCTATCAGCGCCTTCTGTTCGTCCGTAATCTTGCTCAGCGCCGCGGCGCGGTCCTCGTAGTCCTTTGCGCGTTGCTCGAACACTTCCTGCAGCGGGCTCAAATCGAACTGCGGCGAGCTCAGTGCCTTAATTTGCGCTCTGACCGTGTCGTCTTGCTCATCTGCGTCTGCTCCGCCAAGCCGGCAAGCAACCTACCATCTAGGGGCTTGACAACCTCCAGCAGTCCCTTGACTTCGAAGACTAGCGGTCTGATTTCTGTAGACATATCTGCACCATACGTGTACCGCAGCAAAATAGCGAAATTTACGCCTCGCAAAACGGTTGCACCGCGCCGCGCGGCCGCCAAAGCCGCAGCGCTTTCGACTCTCATGTACACACAACCACAAATCCGCGCGCGCCCACAATCGCGCTGCGTCGCGCAAACGCCCTAAACCCTAGCGGCGCAGCAACAATTAACGACAAAACACAATTTATTTGCGAAAACTTCAAATTTGCCTGAGCCGTCAGCAATGAGCGCTGTAGAAATTCAGAAGGTTAAGCTGTTCGGGAAGCACAGTTACGAGCGCATCAGCTGCAGCGACCTCGCGCTGGTCGACTACATCAGCGTGCGGAACGCCGGCGCTTGCTTCACGCCGCACACCTCCACGCGCAACCGCAAGCGCTTCAGCAAGGCGAACTGTCCGATCGTGGAACGTCTGGTCAACTCCGTGATGATGCACGGCCGCAACACGGGCAAGAAGCTCAAGGCGATCCGCGCAGTGCGCGAAGCCTTCGACATCATCGAACTCACCACGAACAAAAACCCGATCCAAGTCTTGGTCGACGCCGTCGCCAAGGGCGGCGCGCGCGAAGACTCCACGCGCATCGGCGCCGGAGGCATCGTGCGTCGCCAGGCGGTCGACGTGAGTCCCTACCGCCGCGTGGGCCAATCGCTTTACCACATGACGCAAGGCGCGCGCGTCTCCGCATTCCGCTCCGGCAAGACGCTATCCGAATGCCTCGCTGACGAGATTGTCGCGTGCTCTCGCGAGTCGTCCAACTCTTACACCATCAAAAAGAAGGACGAAATCGAGCGCGTGGCTAAGGTGAACCGATAAGCGCCGCGCTGCACCCCGCTTTCCAGGCGCCAATCGTTTTCTTCTTTTAATTTAATATCAATCCTTTTCGCGCTGCGCACTCCGATCACAGCGAAGTGGTTGTCTGATCGCCGGACATGTCTGTCCAGGAGGATAAAGATGTCTACCGCGCCTGCAGAAGCAGTTCTAAAGCGCTGATCGACCAGTTTCTCGAACTCCAGCTCGCAGGTTTCTACGAGACGAACATACTGAAGGTGCCCGTGCCGGTGCGCGACGCGCTGTTTCTCTTGTGGTTCTCGGTCTTGATCGCAGACGCCGCAGAAACCAGCATTCTCGCCTCCGGACAGTTTTGGGAACAGATTACGCGGTTGCTGCTCAACGCGTACGAGCCCGGCGACGAGATCTTCGAAGTTCTCAAGAAAGCGCTGCAACAGCTGCGCAAAGAGCTCGGCACGCTGTTGAGCATCGACACAGTTAACTACGCCAAAGCGCTGCTGCAGTCCTTCTGCTACACCACGAACCGCTTGATTCGCGGCACCGCGCAGGACCCGGCGTTCGACTTTGCTCGCCTCGTGCCCGACGAGTCGCAGAAGTGGAACGCTTACAGATCGAAGCGGTTCTACAGCTCAAAGCCGGAGTACTACGCCAACTTTCTCAAATGCGTGTTCGAAGACGCGGTACACACAGAGCCGCTGGCTGAGTGCTGCGCCCGGCTGTCCGCACGCGAGAGTTTCAATGTGAACAACGCGTCGGAGCAACTGCTGCTCTTCAGCCTTTCAGCGGACGTCGCACGGCAGTCTATTTGGAACTCGTATTTCGAAGCGTCGCTGCACAAAGTCGGCGCCGCTCTCGGTCTGTTGCCCGCTGAGAGCTCACTTTTGATCAGTGCCGCGTACGCTCATAGCAAAGCTCGCCATGTTCAACGCAAGCAGCCGCTGCGGCTTTTCGCGCGAAACATTCCGGTGATCCACAACTTCCGGTCGCTCGACTTCTACGAGTCCAAGCGGTGGCTGAACAGCAACGCAGTCAAGATCGGTGCGATAGCTTCGGGCGTTGGCGTAGCGACGGCGCTCACGGCCGGGCTGGCCGCTCCGTTACTCGCAACGTTCTGCACTACCATAGGCTTCTCGACCGCAGCGGCAACGCTGGCAACCACTGGCGGCTCAGTCACCTTTGCGTCTGCCCTGGGCGCTGGCGGCGCGGCACTTGCGACCTGGAAGAGCTCGACCCGCTACGGCCACCTCGAGCAGCTAAACTTGCTGTGGGTGCAGCAGGAAGACTTCACCTCGCAGCTGCTGCGCATCCAGCGCGCCAAGGAGCTGCAGGTTTTGTCAGACGGTAGCTCTACTGACAGTGACCAGATCGTTTCGAACGCGGCGTCGGACGCAGACATCGACGGTCCAGCTGTCGACCGGCCCGACGAAATTGCATCTTCGTTGCATGGCGAAAGGCGCTTTGCTGCGCACACAACCAGCGCGGAAAACTCCGGAAACGCGCAAGAAAACGTAGCAAACGCACGCATTACCGATGCACTCGAGCTGCCAAATGCAGACGCTGGCTGCGCACAAAACTCCGAAGACGCTGAGTCAAACGACCAGGCAAGCGGCAAAGCCGCGAATTTGCAAGAAACGCAGAAGTCTGCAGCTCGCACGCAAGCTGGAAACGTCAAAGAGGACTCAGACAACTTCGGACTGCAAAAACACTTGCTGCAGCCAGAGTTTCATCTGTCAGACGAAGCGCATCTCTCGGTGACTGCTCACTCTGCTAGCGAGCGCGCGGCAAGCGACGCGAGTCCTGGCTCTATCGTCAGCAGCGCTTCAGCTGCTGTCGACACAACCACGCGCGAAGCCGCAGACGGCGCTAAGGATTCCGCGCTTACGCTCGAAACTGCTGCAGGGAAGCACGGTAATGCGGAGCAGCTACTGACTGAGTTGTTCGCTGGCATCCAGTTGTTGAACGCCTCTAATCTGATTTACGTCGAAGGCTTCTCTTTGTCGAAGGCCAGCGGCAACAGCGGCAAAAGCGTCGCGCTGCTCTCGCGAATGCTCGGTGTGGGCGTGCTGCAACTGGAGTGGGACCCGGAACTATTAGCCAATTTGGGCGCATGCATTACTCGGACCGTCAGCGAGAACGCAATTTCGAACCTCGCCTACATCGGCTTTACGCTAAGTGTCTACAGCGCGCTGAGCGCGGTGCTCTGGCCTGTGTGGATGCTGCAATATGCGGCGCAGCTGGACAACACGTGGATGATGGCGCGCGAGCGCGCCAAGAAAGCGGGCGGAGCGCTCGCGTGCGCGCTCATTAGGAAAGCGACCACGGATAACTATTCGGTGTCGCTGGTCGGCTACTCGATGGGCAGCCGCGTGATTTTACACTGCTTGGAGCACTTGCACAACAATCGCTATAGCAACATCGTGCTGAACGTAGTCTTGATGGGCTTGCCGCACCAGTCGGACGCCGAGCTGTTCAGTTCGTGCCGCAGCGTGGTCAGACATCAGTTCATCAACGTGTACTCAACGGAGGACTGGGTGCTCGCGCTGATGTTCCGCTGGATGGAGTGGGGGTTCTCGGTCGCGGGGCTCGCGCCCGTGAACGTGCCGGGAATTAAAAATTTCGACGCGTCAGCAATCGTGAACAGCCACTTCGACTACCACAAAAAATTCAGCGCCGTATTGCACGCCAGCGGATTCACGGGGCAATATGTAGTGTATTAATTTAGATCTTCTGGAAAGAGAGCACCTTGACGCTGCCAATCAGCTTGCCGGGCCACTCCTCTTCGTAGTCGTCGAGGTCGCCGGTGCGGCGCATTTCGAGGTACTTCTCGGCGTCCTTCGCTTTCATGCCAATGGTCTCGACCGCCTCCTCAATCTGGTCGAGGTTGACTTTATCGTCCTCAAGCACGACGCCGAAAACGAGCTTCTTGAGGCCATAGGGGCCGTTCTCGATCTTCGAAGACTCGCTCCACACAAGGCCGTCGATGATGATAGTCTTCACCAAGGAGTCGTACAGCTGCGTGATGTCCGTGTCGCCACTGTAGGGCATAGCCTCGAAGGCGGCAGTAGACTTCGCGACGGCCTTCTTCTTGGTGCTCGCAATCTCAGCCTTCTTCGCCTTGACGTCGAGTTTCTCGGTTTGGGTGTTCATGTCGAAGTCGTCGAAATCGTCAGCCGGCTGCATAACCTTCTGCGCCTTCGCAGAGCACTTGCTCTTGCAGACCGAAGCGGTAGAAGAGTCCTTCGCACAGCAGGAGTTTCCAGAAGTCGAGGGGCACTTGCTCTTGCAGGCCGAAGCTGAGGAGCAGTCTTTCTGGCAGCATGAAGCGCTGGAAGTCGCGGGGCACTTGCTCTTGCAGGCTGTGGAGCAGTCCTTCTGGCAGCATGAAGCGCTGGAAGTCGCGGGGCACTTGCTCTTGCAGGCTGAGGAGCAGTCCTTCTGGCAGCATGAAGCGCTGGAAGTCGCGGGGCACTTGCTTTTGCTGGCTGAGGAGCAGTCCTTCGCGCAGCAGGAGCTGCCGGAAGGCGCGGAGCACTTGCTCTCGCAGGCCGAAGCGGAAGAGCAGTCTTTCGCGCAGCAGGACACGCCGGAGCCGGAGGGACAGCAGGAGTCGCAACCTGCGTTGAGCGTTTCAGGACAGCAGTAAAGAATGCGCTGCTGCAGGCAGCTCAGGCGCGAGATGGTGTAGAACCAGCGCGCGACTGAGGGGTAAGTAGCGACATCGGGCTTTGTTTTGAAGAGTTTGAAGAGCTCGACGTCACACTTGCTGACTTCATAGCCGCACACGTAGGTGTGCACGCGCAAATGCGCGTCAAAGCGCTTAAGTTGTTCTGCGTTGTCTACTGCGGTAATCATAGATAAGTTTATAAATTTAAATATATTGGAAAAAGCGGAAAAGGCTTGCTAATTCTGCAGGTGTCGAGGGCTGTCTTCAAACAGCGTTGCGAGACAGGAGGCGACGGAGAGCATTTTGCCGACTTTCGCGGGCGGCCACGCGTCGGGGTTCACTTGGATGATGTGCAGGAAAAGCTGCGGCTGCTCGGGGCGAACTTACCTCTCCAGCTGCGCAGTGTTTGAGCTCGGCGCAGCGCTCTAGAATCATCGCGGAACCTACGAACGCCACGCGGAAGGGCAGCGCTGCGGTCTCTAGCAAAAAGTCGAGCACTCGCACGAACTCCGCGTGGTGAAAGTCTTTGGCGAAGAGCGTGCCGGCCCAGCGCGCCACGAGCGCGAGGTAGTCGAACTCTTGCGCGGCGAGCGCAGCGTGCAGCTGCGCTGCAGCGGGCGCGGAGGAACTTACGCGTCATGCGGCAGAGCAGCGACTCGACAAGCTCGGCGGTTTGCCGCACGCCGGGCATCAGCGGAATGTAGAAGGAGAGGCCGCGGTAGGTCAGTTGGAAGAGAAACTCGCTGAGCTTCTCGGGCAACAGCGCCGCTTCTGCACGGCGACGCAGCTGCTCGGCAGGCCAGTTTTCGCAACCGTCGCCGAAGCTCGCGCACAGATGCTCGCGCAAGCAGGCGGCTGCCAGTTCGTGCATGCCTTGCACGTAGCCGACGGAGCTGATCTTGCTCGCGAGCCGCTCGAGCGTGTCGGCGGTCAGAGCCTGCAGCGCGGCGGTGCCGCGCACATCGCCGGTGTGGAAGTTGAGTCGCTTGCAGTCGCGCGCGATCTGGGCGCGGTCGGCGGCGGCGCAAGCGGCGGGTTGCTGCGGCAGTTCGGGCCCCGCCGCGAAATCGGGGGGCGCGCCCATATTCAGCTGCCGCGCCCAGCGCGCGGTGCGAACCGCGGCGCTTTCGCAAGGCGCGCTGCCGCTAAGCGCGAGCGCAGGCAGCTGCGGCGCCGCGGCCTTGGACGGAAGTCGGTTGGCGACCACGGCCGCGGCAACAGAATCAGAGGTTTTCCAACAGCTCGGTGTTTTTGAGCTCGCTGCGGTCTTGCACCGGACGAATTACCGACGCGGTTGTGAAAATAAAATAACAAACTGCATAGAACAGATTAAACAGCACCACGGAGAGCGCGAGCTGCG